GATGGTCTCCCTGTAAACCAGAACTCCCTCTACGAACCTCAAACAATAGGCAGCCGAACAGAAGATGACCAGTACCTCTTTTAGTTTCAGATGATAGTCTCTCTGTAAACCAGAACTCCCTCTACGAACCTCAAACAATAGCCTCTCTACAGTCGAGCAGACAAGAGGTGCATCTTCTGGGCTGGAAGATGAAAAGACTCTGTAATTTCTGGGTCGAACTGATTACACCAGATTAGGAGTTCGATGGAGACAGCTCTAGGAGATGAAAGGTCACTATTCCTTCTGGGTCGAACTAGATGCAACAGCAGTTTACTTGACACCACCCTTCAGGCCTGGACAACTTGCTCTGATACCATGTTGAGCAAGAGCAAGAGAAGAGAGGAGAGGAGAAGAGAGAAGAGAGGAGAGTCGAGTGGACTAAAAGCCCTCCARAATACAGGGGGCGAGTGAAAGAATTATTATTTATACTGGCCCGGTCGTACAATATAAACAAGAGAGAAATTACAACAGTACCCTTGTGGTACTAAACCTGAGTACACAAACAACTGTCAACATGCTTGATTTAGTACTTCCCCCAATTATGGCAACAAGTAGAAGGGTCACTAGGGATATGTGTTTGATTTAGTGATGCCCCCGGTGTAAGTGCATAGATGACAGGATGATGAGGGCATTGGAAAGCTATAACGGTTGTCATGTTGATGGCCGCTATATCCTCACTCGGATCTAGTTTGATCACTCCTGACTCAGTCAATTGCATTATCTTGTCTTTGAGGACAACATTTTTCAATCGGGTGGCTGATTACCCAATGGTAACGACAATACCTTGGATGGTCAATATGCCCTTCTTTTAGACGTTTACAATCAAGGAGTTCTATAAGCTTTTCGATTAGAATAGCATCCAACATTTTTGGGACATTTGAGTTGGGGAATGAATACACCTCCGCTTCCAATTCCGTAAGAGTGAGTTTTGGATTTTCTCTCTTGTTGAATACTTGATTTTATTTCTTTCTTGTTTTTTTCTTCCCAATAACCTTGAGAGGGGCTATTGAGGTTGCTAGAACTTGCATCAGCCTAGACAATTTTGTCTCATTTTCACCATCTTTCTTTTCCTTTTCCCTTTGGAAATCATCCAAGTGATGTTCTCCAAAGGTAGCCAAACTAAGTTCCATGTCATGGGCGCGGGTGGCCAATTCCTCAAATGTTCGGGGTTTTATCCCTTAAGGATGTAATGCAAACCCCAATGCATGCCTTGAATACAAGTATCAATAGTTGAAATTTCTAAGAGTTTGTCCCGATAGTTAAGGTAGAGGTTTCTCCACCTGTCGATGTAGTCAACGACTGGTTCATCTTTTTTTTGTTTTGTGGTAGTGAATTTGTACATGCTTACAATACATCGAGTACTGTAGAAGCGACCCAAGAACTTTCTTTCTAATTGATCCCAACTATCGATTGATCTGAAAGGGAGGTCAAAGTACCAGTCAAAAGCATTTCCTCGTACAAATCGTACAAATTGCTTTACCATTAAATCACCGAAAGTTCTGGCATTGTTGCATGTCCCTACGAAGTTAGCAATATGTTGCCTAGGGTTACCTTTCCCGTCAAATTGTTGAAACTTCAGGGGTCGATACCCTAATGGCATGAGCATATTATCAATGCGTTCAGTATATGGCTTAGAATACACCGAGGATGATTGTGAGACACCTCCATACTGAGCACGTATCGTGTCAGCTATCATGTCTTGGAGTTGTTGTACTGAGAGGGACGTAACCGAGGCATGCTGGGCATTCCGTATGTTAATACGTTCCGGCAACTCTCAGGGAGAGTTTACTTGTAGGGTGAAACCTAGTGGGTATGAAGGCCCTTGACTAGATGCCATTATTTGCATTTGTTCCATTCGGTTCATGAGAGAAGCAATTTGAAGGTCTTTCTCTTCTACCGTCTTTGTTAACTTAGCGATGGCTGCATCCATTTCAGCAACTGTAGTAGCTCCCGCGATCATAACGGGTGCTACCGAAGTGTAGGAGCGTGTTTGTCTATAATCGGACCCTCCGGTCTTAGGGGAATTGGGATGAGAGTCGGTACTAAATTCCACATCCGACACAGGTATTTGTCCACTTAGATGCTCAAGTAGAGTTGTTGAGATCAACTCTTTTCTCAAAACTACCCCTTTCTTAGTAGTGTCATTCGCCATTGGTAGCCTTAAAGGTTCCGTTTTGGTGTTTTGGATTTTTGAAGGGACCCCTAGAGTTGTACAGGGAGCAAGAGATGCAACCAATTGTGAATTCTTGGACCTCGTCATGAATCGAGTGGTTGGTCTCTCGTACTTAGAAGTTGGCAAAGCACTTGAACTAGATGAACTTGTACTATAAGTTGCATTTTTCTTGTTGTCAGTGACACTAGAAATGACTTTCTTTGGAGCCACATGTCCAAGCTGCTTACAAAAACTTGATGTGCCGACTTGAGAGATGAGAGGAAAGAGATGTCCCACCAAGCGTGCTAGAAATTTGTCGACACAAATTTCGCACTAAATTTGGAGCACCAAAAATAATGAAGACAAATTCAATTTTTTTTGAGAAATATAAGTGGGATACAAACTCTTTTTTTTTTTGAAGAATACCCTCTGATTCTCATTTCACAGACACGATTGAACTTGCATTTGTAGCTTGTCACGGACATGACCCGTAAAGCTTGACGACTTTAATTGTAAGTCCCTTGTAATGATTCGATGAAGATCTTCTTGACTACAACAATTTAATAGAAGATTTCTTGTTTGTAGTAATTTGATGGGAGCTTTCTTTGATTACAGCAACTCAAAGGACCAAATTCTTCGACTCACGTGACACGAGACTGTAGCAGTTTTGAAGCTTCAACGATTGAGAAGCCAAATTTCTAGTTCTTCCTTCTTGCAACAAGAAAAGTTGAAACAAAACTTGGAGAGAGCCGAAGAGGAGAGAATGATTTCAGTTGAACATCTCTCAACATGCACGTGGCTAACAGCATTTAATTTGAAACTTCACCATCAGCAAATGAGCCAGACTTCTTCCAAATTCTTCTGTCTTCTCCCTTCCTTCTCTTATTATTTTTTTTCATCTTCTCTTTTCTGTAGACGAACTAGCTCTCTTCATCCTCCCAGTCACCTCTCAGAGAGAGAGTCTCCTTGCTCTCCTCTCCATTTTATAGGGATGGCTATGTTTGAATTCAAACCCGCCCTAAAGATTTGAATTCAAATGAGAGGAACCATATTCGGCCAGCTATGGTTTCCTTCTTCATTTGACAATAATTTTGATTCTATTATAGGTAATGACTGCCATTTAAATGAAGGGCCCCACAAGATTAATTTGAAAGACATCCAACTTAAWGGAATTCTCTTATTTAAAATTTGTATTATTTTGGAAAATTGGCTGGTTTGAGATCTCCAATTAACAGATCGATGATCTTTGTATAAATAAGGTTGATTGGAAGAGGTTTGTAAAGGTGCCACTTGGCAAGAAATTAGAGCCCACAGAAGCAAGGAAATCCATTAATTGAATTAAGCTAATCCTCCTTGAATCAGCCAACCAAATTTTCCTTTTAACCAAATTGTTAATTAGGCATGGCTGCCAATCAATTGGGCCCCACTACATTGATTAGAGAAAACCTTTCTAATTGATTTGAGAGAGTTTAAGTGATTTGACAAAAAAAAAAAAAAATCTTTCTGATTGCCATGACTGGTGGGCCTGTCTCAACGTGGCAAATGCTAATTGCCTCTACTCAATTTAGCTTGTAGTGGGCCCTACCCAACATACTCTTGGGTTTGGATTTAATGGTACCTCCCCATGAATACAATAGGGAGCCCTTCATTCTTTTCTTAGTGGACCCAATAGCTCATTTTTATTCAATCTCATATTGGGCCCTATTTATTTCAGTTCCTGGACCCAAAATTTACATATCAACAAGCCCCTCCAAGCCCTTTACAGTTTTGCTATCACCAGGTGTGAAAATTCTTTGAAAAAATAAATAAGTAAACAAAACCATTTTTAACATTTTAAGCCATTGAACCCAGACAGTCTTTCTCCCTAAACTGAACAATATCAACAAGCTTTCTCATTCAAGGCATTGTTAACTTAAAAAAGTTGTTATTTAAACTGTTAATTATCCAAATAAGAACTATTAAACTGTTTGAGTTATTACTAACAAGTCATAGAACACTTCATATATCAACAGCATAAAAAACAATTTTAAGAAGCCGTAACTATTAATCCAAACACTGAAAGAGAAGCAATAAATGAATTAACCTACTGTAAAATCAAAGAGAAGCTTGATTTTTTGTAAGAAACTGAAGTGGAGCTCTAATAGGACACTCCATGTGTCCATATCAAGATAGGAACAGACTGGATTGATTCTTCGAGAACATATCAAGAACTCAAAGTGACAATTTGTAACACAGTATAGTCCAGGTTGTATTGACAATAATATGGTACCACATTCACTTGCTCCAACAAGCAGAGGTTAGTAGTTTCATCATGCTTTGTTATATCATCAATACTATATTAGCCGGACATATTCCATTCAGTGTAAAAGAAGAATATGTCATTAATGGTTTTACTTCTTCAAAGGTAGACAATATAGCCTTGATTTTCAATAAAACAAGAATAGATTTATCAAACAATAGCATGAGAGCATGATACCAAACCTGACATTCTGCAAACATCTCACCACTGACAGACTCTGCATTACGTTCAAGCTTTCTCTGTTCCTCTCCTAGATGCATACGTTCTTGACTTAAAGTTTGCATTTCATCATCCAGAATAGCCCTAGAGGCTTCAATATGGACTTCCATGTTGTCCTCAATCACAGATTTATCTCTATAAGGTGTTCTTCCATCAGAAAAAGCATCATACTTTTCATCCGTAACTGGATTGTTCTTTATTTCAACATCATTTTCCATTTTCTCCACAGAAATTTCCTCCCGAGGAATGATGTTTTCATTGACCTCATGGGAAGAACATGGAACAGGTCCACATTCATGCTGGGCAGCACCAACAAGACTATCATCAGGCATAACCRTTAATTCTGTTGCAGAAACATGAGAATCATCCCTAGAAGAACCATCCATGGCTTCTGTGACACTAGCTAAAGCACCACCATCATCAAAAGCATCAAACTTCTTGTCAGAAGCCAAATGGATTTCCTTTGGCTCAATGGGACTAACTGGACCTATATTTGATTTCTCTAGAGAAAACCTCCTTTTTTCACTCTCTTCTTGACTTAAAGATTGAAGGCCAGGTACTAGGTACAATTCATCAGTCAAAGTTTCCTTCTCATTAGTTTCTCCTAGAGCCATGGATGATGACAATTGCCCCATTGGAGTATCATTACTTGGTGGGACATCTTTTGAAACCACATTATTCAGCTTTTCAAATTCGCCAGCAGCCCCATATGAAGATTGAATTTGTTGATTATTAGATTCTAATGGCAATTTAAGGGAGTCAACTGTGTCTTTTACAAGATCCAAAACTTGAGCAGGAAACTCAAATGCTGTATCTTGAGTAGTAATTTCAATATTTGCAGGATGCATACCAGTAGGCTTCTCTTTTCTGAAATCCTCAAGATTTCTCTTTATTGCTTCTTGGATCTCAGCTGCTTCTTCTAAACAACCTTTTGAAACAGTTTTCTTATTCTCAGTTGGGGGTGGAGAAACATTTTCAGGATAATTGCAAACTCCTTCCCAGTCTAGTTCACTATCGTCATTAATATTGCTTTCGGAAAAACATTCATGACTTCCCTTATTAACATCTTTGACATTTCCTTCCTCCCAAGAACAATCTGAATCTACATCACAAGGCTGTTTTTCTGAAGAAGTAATTGCAGTATAAGGAATCATTACTGAATCCCCCACTACTAAACGAGCAAATACATCATCATCATTAGCATCTCCTGCATGCTCTTCCCTAACATCGTCTTCAAAGGATATCACCATGGTATTTCCATTTCCAAGTATAGAATGTTCATGAAGATGATGATTGTCCCCCTGTGGCAATATACCCTTTTCACCAATTAGGTTATTTCCTACATTTGAAGCTTCTCCATGTTGGTTATTTTTTACAGTATTTTCTTGGATACGAAGTACTTCATTGACAATAGAATCTGATTTTGCAAAATTCTTTTCTCTCATCTTTTCCTGTTCAATCTCTTTCATCAAATCCAAATTCCGCTGTAGATCTCGGGTCATACGAATGCCCATGGCTCTTAGTCTGCTAACACGCACACATCCCCTCTCGTCAAGATATGTCTCAACATCATCTTCAAAACCCCTTTCAGAATCACCCACGGCAGATCCCATTGCTGAATTACAATGAGCAGCAGAAGAACAATTCACAGAATTTAAGAAACTGGACCCATTCCCTACAGTCTGGTTTTCCAGGCCTCCTCCAGTTTGGTTGACTCCAGCTGATGTGAGCATCCTGATTAATGTAAGCATCTCAGTGGCACTGCTAGTTTATCTGGTAAGAAGCCAAAGTATATATCTAACACAGGTTTAACTTAAAGTTGCGGATACACCCATTCATTTATAAAGAATGCATACAGAGAGATTCTATGGTGTAAAATATGCATAGGCAARCATCAACAGTATCTGATTACTAACTCTTTGTTGCCGGTAAATGACGATGAAAATATGAATTCTCTATTGGCTTCAGAAGCTATCCGTGAAGTCTGCACCCCACCAATTCCCCTTCCAGCAGCTGATTTCTGCACTTCATCTATCTCTCGACGGAAAGCCACAGTTTTTAGATAAGCTTGTATTTGTAGCTCAGAAAATTTTGCAGGGGCCTAGATGCATAAAGGAAATCAAGCAACAAATCAGCTTTCTAAGAAAGTAACTCATCTAAGAGAAATATAAATAGGAAAATTTCTATCACTAAATAGTTAATGGTTTGACATAATAGAGGAACCAATCTCCTTAAGGTCACCTAGGTACTAATAGTATATCTTAATAGAATTCAAATAAATAACAGAAGAATTGAGATATTATAGCCACCAAATACTGTCTTTGACATGGAAAGAATTGCAGCATCTGGTTCATAAAAATTGCATTTTGCTTGAGGCAGAAAATATTTCCTGGAAATTGAAGGCTAACAGTAACAATCCCAAAAAAAAAGGATTATAGTATTTTCTGGAGATCGAAGTTCATAATAAAGCAATATTCACTGTCAGGAGTGTCAATTAACTAAAACCAGTCAACGATAATTATCCTTTTTAAGCATAAACACTCCCCTCCATATCATCTCTCAAATTCTGAGATAAAAAAAAAATGGAGAAGTACGGATACACCCAATGCAGATTTCTGATTCCCACTGCACAGCTATAAACATTCAAAACGTCAAAAAACCACACCCTATGCACCCATACCCGCCCATGAATTGGCATCAATTCCAAGCTGGCACCTACCCCAAATTTACTTTGAACCTACAAATTCTGACACGGGGGTTATCGGTCATTCTCCCAAAAAAAAATGGTGGGGGGTGGGGGGAGAGCACCTATACTATACCTGAAAACTTGAGAAGTCTCAAATGAAACAGTTGGATGTGCTTTCACTGCTTCATTAGTGTCTCATTTTGAAAATGTAGTGTGTCTAATTGTCCCATTTACTAATGCAGAGAGACTTATTTACTATTTTCACTGTATCAAATATAACTAGCATTCATCTATTTAACATGCATTCAACTTCTTATTGAAATTCACTTCATGGGTGATAACTTATTAGCATAATCCTTTGAAATCACCAGTCTGAACAAAAATAATTGATGCTTTACCATATCAAAATTGGCTAAATATCATATATAATCCTACTGCTAAAACTTGCATACAATATGCTTTGGCGCAACCATTTTGACATTCCTTTAACATAGAAACTGAAAACATGAAAAATCATAAACTATATGCCGATTTTTTTTTCTTTTTGATACCACCACACCTGGCACCTCTATGAACATGGAATGATGAAAAGGAAAAGAAACAAGTGGGRAAATTTTTTGGCATAGGCCACTGACTTTGGCTGCACAACTGGGTAAGATCTCAGACATTGGCAACAAATTACCAAGCTACAGCAGCTGGATGCAAGGGTTTCATTAGGTTTTTTTTTTTGAAACTGTAGGTAAAGTATTTCATTAAAATCAAAATGTCAAAATACAATGAAGCCCCTGTACAATGAGAGACTGAACAGAGGATATACAATTCTGCCATGCCCAATTCCCAGAACAAAACTATCCACTGCTTACAAAAAGGAAAWMAAAAAAAAAAAAAAAAAAACGAATGAAGGAGATCAGCAAACTCTGTGGCAGATAGCTTGGCAAAACAGGGGACATTCAGGTAAACTTATTTTGGGCTGTACTGTAACTCTTGATGTTGTTTTGGGGTCAACAATCTTTGTCTGAGTGGCTGACAATGTAAGATGTTTATTTGATATCCTTGATGAAAGTTACCATCTCCAATCAAAAAAAAAAAAAAAATCAACGAGAATGTCTATTTCTAAATAAAGGGTGAACTGCCAACCATGAATGAGCCATCCCCAGTATTTTGCTTAAGATTACTTCCTTTGAGGTCTGATTCCCTTCAAATATTCTACTGTTTCTTTCACACCACACAGCCCAGAAAACTGCTGAGGGAAGTATGCTCCATGCTACCTTTCCGGGCCTACTTAATCCTTCTAGACACCATGCCTCTATGAATCCCTTCACATCAGCTGGAAACACAGCTTAACACCAAACAGACCTAACAGTCTTAACCAAATCCAGTTAGTAAAGTCACAGTGAATCAGCAAATGGCTAGACGACTCAACATTTCCATTGCATAAAGGACAAGCCAAATCTGCCACCTCTAAGCCTCTTCTGACTAAATTCTCTTTGGTTAGGATCTTGTCCAGAGCACTGCTGACCATACAAAGAAGGTCAGTTTAGATGGTACAGCTTTGATCCATATCCTGTCACTTGGAAAAGAAGTGGTATCCTCCCTTGATACATATTTGAAAAATGATTTTACAGAAAAACTACCCGATTGCTCAAACATCCAATTTCTTTTAGCTTCCCCTATTCCAGTCATCTCTGAGTCATATAAAATCTGGAGCAAGCTGATTAGAGAAGTCACCTCCCAACCGTTAAAGTTCCTCCTAAATTGAGGGTTCCACAAGCAATATCCACTCTGTCTTTCCAAATATTCAGCTACAGTTGCATTCTTATTTGTAGCTATTTCAAACAGATCAGGAAATATGGTCATCAAAGGACCTTCTTCACACCAGTGATCCTTCCAAAAGAGAACCCTCCAGCCATTTCCCACTTTATATTTTATGAACTTCAAAAACTGAGGTTGTATTTTCTGAACTGCCTTCCAATTTGAACATCCATAGGATGATCTGACCTCCTCTGTTTCCCACTCCCTGCTACTAGACCCATACTTGGCTACAATTAACCTTCTCCACAGGCTATCTGACTGCTCATTAAATCTCCATAACCGTTTTTCAAGCAATACAGTGTTTACATATTTCCCTAGACCCCCATTAGCTTTGGAGCAGCAAATTTTCCTCCAGTTACCAAGGGTTCATTAGTTAATAAAGGAGCTCTTCAAATGAGATCAATGGATTCATTAGTGGGTCCAGAGAGTGTTGGTCAGGATAATGGACCCTGAGTATTTGCACTCAGAACCCTAATCAACAGGCTCAATGAGCATGTGTCACCTCAAAAGTTGTTTTGATATTTTAATGAATAAGCAAACACAGGTAGTTTTATTTTTTATTTTTTTTATCAATAACAGATTCATTCAATTCATTGAAATATCAAAATATTTACAGCAARGAARACAAGAACTCTTATCTTCCGAATACAACTTAAACCCTCCAAAGAGAGAAAAAGAGAAAAAGAGAAAAAGAGAAAAAGAGAAAAAGAAACAAAAGAAACAATTAAGTTACAGC